AGATATATCTGGTAATATACGTAAATGTAACGACTGCATCTTCATTTCGCAACGTTTCTGATATAAATGAAATTGAATCGACTTCGTTCGCGTGCGGAAGCCATGGATCTAAGAACCTATAAACGGAGCCCACGACGCGGGAATTACCAAATTTGCGGCAGATAGGCTCTATCTTTATAGAATATGCGGCGATCGAGTCTTTCCGTCGTATACTCTATGAATCTAGATAGACCATAGTTACATTCTATGCGCACTAACACCTACTTCGCGGCGTGCTGTCGAGTACTATGTATAAAAAAAAAATAGCTATACAAGCTTTACCTATGTTCGGCTGTCCAAAGGTTGACATGTTCAAGAAAATCTTTTAATTTTGCGCCGCCTCCGAAAAGGTTGAAATGTATTTAATATACTACCTAACGAGTAAATAAGTTTCATTCATATCTGTTACGTAATTGTATGATTGAATGAAATAGAAATTACTTCATTAGGAAGTAGAAATTATTTTATACTTTTTAGTGCATTTCGAAGTCGGTCTATTTTTTTTCTTAAAATTATTTTATTACAAGGTCAGCTTAAATGGAACGCCCACTTAAGGTATGCACCCTGTATGTACTGCCGAAGTAAGTATTTTTATATTGTCATAAATATTTTAATATGTATAAATAATAAATATTTTAATACTATAAATACTTGTTAAATAATGTTTGGACTATACTCATCACGCGTTAATTTTGGGGGTATATTTTAGTTTACTTTAAAGATTACCGGTTCAGGTGATATCTAATTATACTACAGAATGCAGTAAATCTTTTACTTGAGAAAGCCATTTAAGACAGCTACAGCAAAGAATTCGTTTTCAATTGAGAAAATAAAGTAGTTCGAGACATAAAATACTGTCGGTGATCCAGAGAACTAAGGAGTACACTTTTCTTAAGCTAGCACGACCAAGCCAGCAGAATCATATTGACTTTGCAATTAGTAAAATATTCAGTACTTATTTTATATTAACTTATACCACAAATTGTTTTGTATCTAGATTTGTATCTAGTTTTGTATCTGTAGTTTTGTTTCTCGTGCTATTCTCAAAAAGATTGCCATGAATTTGTACTAAATTAAATTAATTTCACTTTGTTCCATTTTACTGATGATAGCACGAGATACAAAATTACTATTTGTGGTGCCCAATTGCACATTCATTTTATGCATATTACACAAATTACATATATGTACATTGTACATATATTATCATGAGATATTTTATTAATGTATATCTATGTTAACTTCCTAGTAATTCCTTAGCAATCACAATTCATCTATAACTTATCTCACTATCCCGTTATCTATATTTGAAATAAAAATAAACCATGAAATAAAATTATTTCCATGCCCACAATGTGGCGTTATAATTTCTATTAAAGTGGTATCCAACATTTAAGAACTTTGCGACTGATTTGAAACGAAAATTAAGGGGATATACAGATCAAAAGGAAAAGAGAATTAATCAGTGATTACGTGTATTTATAATAGCTGTTTGATTGTTTAAACGCCTGTTAAGTGCGCTTTCAATTATCCAAGCACTGATGCAATTTAGCTTCAATCAAACTATCTCGTAAAATCAATAAACGTATATCTGATTTTACTTGTCGACATTTTGGAACAGCGATGGCTTAAATTCACGCATCAATGCGAGCATTCAGAATCAGACAACGTTAATTCCAAAAACGATACATTAGTCAAACAAAGCCATGTCCAGTTAGCGTTCATTAACTTTCAATAAATTTCACAAAATTAAAACGTTATTTTAACAGATTTTTAAATTATTAATTTTTTTGTAATAACATTTTTGTCGTCGAATCGTAGTGATTGTAAATCAGTCATTGATACAAAATAAGAATTTTTGAGATAACGTTGCCTGACTCTAAAAACTAATGATTTTTTCACATTAATAGATTAATACTTTTTTGTAAAGAATATGAAGGAGTATCAGCTGATGTAATAAAAAATATATGATTCCATTTAAAAAAACATTAATGACCTTCGTATGTCCTTTACACGTCCACCTACAAAAAAAATATACCACCAGCATATGCCTCCCTCAAAACCATTCAACTTCATCTGAAACATTGTTTGCTGTGAGTAATAATAATGACGCAAATCTAGATGGCAAAATGTGGTGAGCCACCCTGTATACTATAATAGTATATCAACGATACCATGCTTAGTAGCAATTTATAATTAATGTTATTTATTCGTTTTTATTAAAAAATTATTGAATTTACAATTTTACTGAAATAACTCTGTACATTTTTTCCTGAAACTTAAAGAGTATTAAGCGACGATGAATCACCCTGTGTAATTCAAAGATTTCACACATCAAGAACCACCTGAGACGATTAAACGTATCAGATTTATTCCGTTTCGTTAATTCGACGTTAACGTGATTACACAGGAAACTTCGTTCAAAAAGCTTCACGTTCGCAAAGTTAATTGGGAATTCAAATACTCTCACAAATTCGAGATGCAAAATATTTTATTTCAACGTTAATGAGTTTGAGTTACCAAGA